TGTATATTCATATTAAAAGAAAAGCGGCGCACAAAAAGACAGAGACAAAGAAGAGAACCACACACAGCGCTGTGTGTGGTTCTCTTCTTTGTCTCTGTCTTTTTGTGCGCCGCTTTTCTTTTAATATGGCGTATTTATTATTGACCAGTCATATTGAGTAATCTTATGAGGCGTGCTGTTGCTATGACATTACAGTATACCTCCTGTATTATTGAGCCCACGATACGAATGTCATCTAATAAAACCCCTACGAGGTGACGTATCATGTACTGCTAGCAGAGTCAGCCAAAAGAGTCAGGACAGTGCATTATACTGGTTGTGTCCAGCTATGACAAGTGCTGCTGTATCAGACGTAACCCCCGAGTGAAAAATGAAAAACAAGGGACATAAAAAAATGGGAGGAGGCCTCAATTTCTGGCCTAAGTGTCTGCCAGTGGCACTCGTATACCTCGGCATTGCTGTGTGCTGGTCGCCTTTAATGGCTCCTACTCGCGGCGACCAACCATCAGTCCGTCCGTGCCTTGGAGTGAGCCAGCTGTGCCCTCCCTCCCTCACACTCTCTCAATAATCACGTGATGGCCCAGTGGCGGTGTCCGACCATTCGTCTGTCTCCGCCCCCTCACACTCACTCAGCAATAACAAAATAATAAATGACATAAAAACGTGTATGCCAGAAAGCGCGTGCTACGAGCTAGGAGAAATAATGATTTCAGTAATTAAATAGGACAGCTGAAGTTCAGAGGATGGCTATCAGCCCCATTTTGGGACGGAATCTGTTCTGTTCTAACTGTTTTGCTGTGGAGAGTTTGAGGTCCATATTGCGTCGGCTACTTCATATCACGAAGTTCTGTAGTCGGAAAAAAAAAAGAATAATTCTGAACGGCACCAAAAAATAAACAATCCAAAAAAAAACATAATAGCACACTGAAACCAGTTGAAATATCATATCAATGCACAGTTTGTTTGCAGCAGTTCACACTGTCATAAATTGTTCTCACGTACACCTTCTTTTTCTACTGTCAGTATATGCGCTAACACATTTCATATATATCCATCTCTGGCTGTCTATCACAGGAGCTTATCCAGTCCGGCCTCCACTAAGAAGTCTGTCAGGAAGATGTTCGCCTTTTTCTGAAGATGCATCTCAGGCCATGGTCCAAGTAATTTCTTTAATGTGAGAAGCCGTCTGTCCAAACTTGCTAATTTCTTCTTTTCTTTTTCTCTTTGATTCGCGTATTTAATGCACTCCAAAAGGATATGGCGAACATTTTCTTCTGCATGACCACAATAGCATTCCGGTGAGTTGGATCGATGTATCTTGTGCAGGAAGCTGTTTGTGTATGCTACTTTCAATCTAAGTCTGTTGATTAATTTCTCTAAGTGTCGTGGGAGATCTGTCGCTATGAAAAATATTCTGTGTGGATCATCTTCATGAAGTACTGTTTCCTTTGATTTAGGGCTATCAAACCACTTTGCCATCGAATAATGGTTAGCTCTTTGCGTTATAAAATGTCGAATATCCGCCCAAGACACAGGGATTGCGCAATCCCGTCCTTCATTCAATGCTTTATTCGCGAGGCTGTCAGCCTCTTTATTTCCCTTTATTCCAATGTGACTGGGCCCCCGTTGGAATACGATGTTGTGACCCTGCGCTGAGGCATATTTCACAGTTTCTGCAATACACTGTGCTATTTCAACATTTTTGTGAAGTGATCTCGCATTTCTGATTAGCTGAAGGGCAGGTTTGCTATCCGTGCATATCACCCACTTTCGTGGGTCTGAATTTTCGCAGATAAGCTTAACTGCTTCGAAGATAGTCACCAGTTCTTTTGACGTCAATGAATGTCTGTGCGATAACTTGTAAACGTAAACTGGCATCAATCCTAGTCATTTCATCGCACGCGTAGCACTATATGTGTCTTCGCTAAACGTTCAATGCATTCGACCACTTCCACCCCACTAGAAACAGGCCACTGATATTGTGATGATTCGCGAGTGAGTCATGCAAACGAAAGGCAGGCAGGTTAACCAGAACTAAGCCAACATTCTACCCATTCTGACGAGAAACTACATGTCACGAAGGGATTATTAGTTTCCCATTGAAAAGGTCCACATCTTACTTCCACTTCATCCTGACGCTAGATTCGGAGCATGGTTATAGTAATGGTGCTCTCCTGCTGGCCGGGAAGTCGTGGGTTTGAATCCCAGCATCGGCAGCCACACTTTCTTTGGGGCGAGAATTCCCGAGGTTCGTGCACTTAGATTTAGTTCAAGGACCCCGGGTGGTCCAAATTTCCGGAGTCTCCCATCCACTGGGGTGTTATTCATATTGTGGTTTCCAAATGTGAAACGCCCGCAATTGTTATATTAACGTCCCTTTGTAAACTACATTTGATCCAGAATTTCTGGCAGCGTCAAACGAGCTTTCCACTGCGGGACTCGCATGTTTATCGCGTGTGGCTGGAGATAATGCGTCACGGCCTTCCGAAGCTTGTTTGTCTTACAGCTACTCGGCCGCTTCCTTCCTTCCGCCTATTTCCTGCTTATCCAATCTACTACGCCTTCAGTCCTCTATGCCCCCCGATAGGCGCTGCGGCAGCATTGTGTAGTAAGCGTACACCATGCCTCGCCTTGTTTATTACGTGCAGTGCAGCTGAAACTTGGGGTTGTGTCTACCAACCACAACAAACATTGAGAGAGACTCCTTCGTTTGTTCGCTTCGGATCTGGTTGTTCGTAAGAAAAGAAAGCGTGAAGGGAGAACTAAGTCTTTTCTTGGACATTACGTACGCGTGGCCCGTAAAGAGAGTGAGAAGGTCTAACGCTTTCCCCCCTAAGCACATCCCTTTGCTCTTTACATGCACATGAACTAACACGCGCACATACTCTCACATCCTTAGAGTGGGCATTAAGTGGTTAGAACCCACGATTAGGTCTGAGAAAACTCAATTTCTCGGCAATTTATGAAATTTTCGGTCAAATTGCACGGTACATGCAGTTAGCACGTTTTAGAACATGCCGTATACATCTAAATTGAATTCAGCTTGCCGAAGCAGCGTGAATTTTAGGTTTTTTTTTCTCTCTTGTCTCATGCACCCTAAACCTTTTACGTCGGCTTTACACACTTGTTTAGCGAAACACCACAAAAAATAAGAACATGGTTACGCCCTTCGGACAGCAGTTAAGTTTCTCAAGGCTACACGTCGGTGACTTTAGCTATAATCAGTGTTCATTTTACTGCACGTGCTCCTGGACTCTGTTCATGTGGGATAATTATGATTGGCTGCGATCGCTGCCACTCCGTGTTGGAGCTTCCTTAGTCTCACACTCCGCTTCATTATCATGGAGCCCCACTTCACCACTGCCCCCTGTAGGGTAGCAAGCATAATTCTCAGTTCTGTTTAACCTCTCTGCACTCGTGTCATTCATTTACGTGCCCCCCCCCCCTCTATTATGGATAAGTTAGCAAAACACAGCAGGCTAATTCCCCAGAACAGCCTATATAGACTATAGCACTGTATATATAGCAGAACACGGCGTTTGTGACAATGTTGCTCTATATTCATCTGTTTATGTACCGAAATTCGGAGGCATACCTATACGGACCTGCTCAAACTTCTTCGCTCCCAAATGGAACAGGATGTCGGCTTCCGCTTACTGGATGCGTTTACTTTATTTCATCCAGTTTAGGTCAAACAATAGTAAGGGCGTATTAGATGTGGCATGTTGGTACACCAAACTAACACTTAAATGAAAACAATGACGTAAATCTAGACTGCGTTAGCAGGTACTTATTAAGATTCCCTTCGAAAAAATATAAAGTAGAAAGGCTGTAGTGACAGTGCTGCAGGGAAGGCACCTCCACTGATCTTTTGCTGCATGAAGAAAGAAGGTTGTTGAAAATTTTGCAGTTTTTACATATGCGAAAGGAACTCTTGGATGGTTGCTGGTAATCAGTAATCTTTTTTTTGTGTGTGTGTGTGACCTCATCGCCCTTTTTGTTGTTGATGGTAATAATGTCAGTTGACGCTGGAGTCCACGTACAAGTCAGAAACCAAGGTGAATGAAAAAATTATTCTTGGGATAGTTCATTCTGCGTAATTGGCTGATACATTAGAGCGGGCCGTATAAGTGTCAGCACAAGAAGAAAAAAAAGGCGATAAGCAGTACTACTATCGGTTTATTAGCAGGAAAAGGTTTCGCATTTGTATATTTTTTGGCCCGCGTGCGCATACAGGAATAGAACAGCAAGAGTACATCAGGGGTGCTTACGCACAAATTCAAACTATGGGTCCATCAAAGCAATAGACGGCTCATTTATACAAAGATTTGAGTTGTACTCCATAAGCTTCCAGAGCAAGTCCCGAAGAAGCGTTAGCGCTCCTTCATGAAACAGCTGTGTCGGGAAATTAGCAGGCAGTGACACACATTCAGTCATTCCACATACAGTGACACATGCAGCGGCAAGTACCAACTTACACATGTAGGCCCTTCCTTCTCCTTCCTTATTATTTCTCTCTTATCAACGTGACCACAGCGTATTTCTATGCAAGGAAGCGATACCGAGATGGATGAGCCCAAATCACTTGCTCAAGAAAGTCAGGATGCGAGATACAGTGTCTTATCCGAGGAACTAGATTTTTTTTGTGTGTGTGCGCGTGTGTCTGAAATATGCAAGAGCATTCACTAGACTGCACGCATAGTTCGTGGCTGCTGGATCACATTACGCACGCATTCGTTCTCACCCTTTGTACCGACGTCGTGCCGCAGTCTAGTGTGCGTAACCCGGCGAGTCGCCGGAAACAGCGGAGTCGGCGGGCTGCAGCGATACGGTCTTCCCCTACCGCCCTACGTTCCAGCTGCAGGCGGCTGTCGGATGTCGTTTCGCCGCCTATTAAGCGCGCGTCGAGCGGCCTCGCTTCCTTCACGCTTCACTGGCGACGCGAGCAGCTCGGCTCAGCTGTGCCAGCGTTTCCGATCATTGCACGCTCAGTAGCGTACCGACCTCCGGCCAGACGTCATTTATCGGGCCCGCCAGAATATAACACCTCCCCAAAGCCGCCTCCTCTTTCAACCGCTCAGGAAACCTCGCACGCGTTTTGCCGCGTTGTCGGTTTCTAAACCAGCGCTCACTGTCTCCCGGTAGGCGTACGAGCCACGCCACGCAGTGTTTAGCGCTCGACGAGGATTGTGCGCTGGTGATGAGGCGACGAGGCGTGTTCTGAGCTTTGCCCGAGTATGGCTTCCAGGCGCGGGACATGGGACACCGGCGCGTGAGTATACAAGAGCACAAAACTGTCTCGGCGAGCGACGTGGACGCCCTTTGTGTCGATGCCAGCGCTTGACGGCGCACTCACAACGATTTTGACAGTGTTGCTGCAAGCGTCGAGAAGGCTCCTTGGTTTCGAGATCACTTGAGCGGTGTCCTTTCTGGAACAGCGGGGTATTCTGCCGCGCGCGTGTGCTCGTGTTCCTTAACTCTCTTCCCGTATAACTTCCCTTATCTGCTTAGACCAGCAACAGCAGAGAGACCCAACCGGAGAGTTATCTCGTTAACGTTCTTGTCTCGGCTTTGCTTGGCTGCTTCTTTTTGGTGCTGCCGTTTCGGCCTTTGTGCCATCTTGTACTCTACCCCCACTCAGAGTCATGTACCCCGCGAACGCACGAGTCTTCGTCAACGTAGTTTCAAGATGTGCGCTTCGTCCTCACATGTGCAGACGTCCCGCTTAATATTAGCCTCGTCTGATGCTAAGAAATAGCCGAGAAAGTTTCGAGAGATGGTTCTGCAGGTCTGGGATACTGTAACTATCGCATCGCTATTTCTCTTCGTGAACCTTCAGTGGTTGGATCGGTGTTCTAGCATAAGTTGTCACCGAAAGCGGCATCTTTTGAACCTTGAACGGTGGATGATAAAAAAAGTAATAGAATCAGAGGACAGGAATAATTTCGTTTGACTAGTACTGCAATGAATGCCATCGAGGGTCTGGATGATCAAACACAACGATTTATAGAAAAGCCTGCCCGTCTTGCTTCCAAGTCGACCGAGTACAATGTGTAGTCAAGGCCGTATAATCAAGGCCTGTACTGTATTTAGTAATAGAGGAAGTATATGAATGTGAGTGCACATATTGTCGCACCTCTCACGTAAGAGTGGCCAGCTTTGATAGTTTCCGCACTCACAGCATTGAAGAGTGTGAAGTGTAAAACTGTCATACGAATACCCCGAGAAATAGGTGTCTATGGGCCAAATGAAAATGTCGCAGAAAAATTGATACATCAGTATGAGCTATTTAAAAACAGCTACATTATTTAGAAGGATAAATGCGTCTCTAATGACAAGTTGCTACACTCTACAGCCCTCCCCATCAGACAGCAAATGCCAATCAAGCAGTCGTTTTTATCGCTCTTTTTCAGTGTGCCCAATTAACGCCTCCCCGTAGTAGTAGGCATCAGTGTAGAATAGACATGTACCAAAGCTATCACTATATGCATACCGCGTACCATTTTTCCCAAAATTTCCATTACATTGCGCTGGGCGTCAGATACAAACCATCCAATTGGTGTATAATACACATAATGCAAATTATGCTCTAAATGTTCTTTCATCATGCTTGTGACCCTTCCTTAGAACCCATTTATCATTACTTCTGTTAATTTGTATACTTTTTTTTTTGCATTGCCAGAAATTTAGTTAAGCATTCTACACAGAAAGGGATGAAATGTTTTGCGCCTAAGTAAATAAATATATAGTGAAAAATAACCGTCAAAATAATTAATCTCTCATAGTTTCATTGACTGCTCTGCTTTCTGCTTGCAAATGATTTGAGTGACTGCGAACTGCAGCAAACCATTTTAACTGCTAGCGTATCTTGTGAATAGGTGATCTACGAAATTCACCTAATCAAACACGACTAATCTATAAGAAGGCAAAGTTGCCTACGAATAGCCTACGAGAAATGCATACACAGTGGTAAACCTATCTTCATGGGTGTTCATTTTATACCTAATCGTTGCTACATATACCAGCGGAACGAAAGAGGAGGGAACAGACTGAAGGACTGATAAGCCACTTTTCAGACCGGCTGGTTACCCTGCTCTTGGGTGGAATGCATAAGGGGAATAAAAGATTATGAAGAAGCAGTCGCATCTGCTATTCAGGGCTCGTTGAGCGCCATGCAAAGGATCCGCCTCGCGCTTTTGCTTCTGTGCGCATTCGCGAGCGCCTTCATCGTGGGCGTTCAACTCGGCCTGAACATGAACCACGACCCTCCCGACTATTCCGAGCAGCGGCCAGGGCACTCGTCAAGGATTACGCAGCAAAGAAAGGACTCTCCGTACTTCACCGCAGACGATGCCGAATGGCTGGACGCCTGGACCAAAGTGAGCTCCAACGTGTACGTCTACTCGGCCTACCTCGACCCTCGTCTGGGCCCCGACGCGACCGTGGTGCGAGTCGTGGGACTCGCGCGTCTCAGTCCCGCGCTTAAGGTGAACTACTCGTGCCTGATCGACGACCGGCCCGGTAAACCTGCCCCGCCCGTCGTCGCCAAGCGGGAGTTCCTTCAGGTTCGTTGTAATGACGGTGATGATTCTAATGAGTTCACTGCACGCGATGACGTGTCTTATTATACTACCACTATTTATTCAAGAGGGTTGCTTGTTGGACAAGTTGGGGCTTACCTAAACTCGAAGAAGGCCACTAAAACGAGGAAAAAGGAAGAACTGAGAAGCAAAATGAGAGACAGTGACACACTGGTGGCTAATAACAAGTTACGCTTGTTTCGAGAAAAAAAAATCGCCTCCTTTCAAGTCCGTAGAGCGTGCGCAAAGGCACCATACCAGACCACTGCGCCAATCTTATCCATGCAAGTCACTACTGTTCAAGAAAGTCGCATTCTTTCCGGGTCAAAAACTCAAAAGCGGCGCTTACACATTTTCTCCTGAAGGAGTTAACGAATATAGTACGCCTCAAGCAATTCTCTTCCACGTCGCGTCTTAGCTTTACCTACAATGAATACATTTCGAAACATGGGTGTGCAGCCACACTGCCTACAACGTAGCGGAAGGTTACCATCAATGCCAGAGAACAGAAGATTTGCATGCTGCCGCAAACAAACGTTAATGCATCGACCAGATTGTCCGATGTATTGCTTATCGCAACTAAGCGGAATGCGTACGACACAGATGTGTCACATGCGCCGTATTTTTTGACATGTTTGATTTCACAAACTCTGCCTAGTGTGCCAAGCTGCACAACCCTCCTACAAACGCCCGCGAGTTTGTCTGACATGAAACAGGTCAATGTGGTAAAATTTCTGGCCTGTTCCGCTCCAAGCAATCTCGTAAACCTGTGTAGGAAGGTTGCCCAGCTTGTCACACAATGCAGAATTTGCGAAGTCAGAAATGTCGAAAAATACTGCGCGTGTAACACATGTGTTGTTCCGCTTAGTTGCGAAAAGCAAAACATGGGTGTGGTTGCACACCCATGTTTAGAAATGCATTCATTGTAAGTAAGGCTAAGAAGCAACGCGAAAGAGAATTGCTTGAAGCCTACCATATTTAGAAACTTGATCCGGAAAAAAATTGTAAACCTAGGTTCTGTGTTTCTGACCAGAAAAGAGTGCGACTTTCTTGAACAGTGGTGACTTGTGTGGACAGCAAAGGGGCAGTGACCTAAAGTATGGTGTTTTGCGCGTGCTCTGTGCGGACTTAGGAAGAGGCGTTTTTTTATTTCCTTTTTCTTGAAATGAACGCCATTTTTCAGTAGCCACCTCTGTGCTCACTATCTCGCCCCGCTGTGTTGTCCTAGTGGCTAAGGTACTCGGCTGCTGACCCGCTGGTCGCGGGATCGAATCCCGGCTGTGACGGCTGCATTTTCAGTGGAGGTGAAAATGTTGTAGGCCCGTGTGCTCAGATTTGGGTGCACGTTCAAGAACCCCGGGTGGAGACATCCACTACGGCGTCTCTCATAATCATATGGTGGTTTTGGGACGTTAAACACCACATATCAATCAATCATGTATCCACTATCTCTGCCTCTTAGTTTTTTTTATCGAAGTTTTAGTGGCTTTCTTCGAGTTAAGGTACCACTATCAATCTCGCTAGCAATCTCGGTAAAAAAGTTTCTCTAGCAACCACTAGCAATCTCGGTAAAAAAAGTTTCTTGATATCGTTCGTTCCGCGGTGCGGAATGAATCTATAATATTGGACGCAGCCGGTCCTTATTTGCGGATTCATCGGTGTATGCAGAATACTTCGAAACCTAAGCAACACAAACCCCAAAAGCCAAAAATTCTTTTTTTTTTCGAGAGTGTCGCTTTGGGCCTTTCGTGGACTGTCAGTGCGTCTCAGTTAAAGCTTCTTACATATATTGTGTATTTGGCTGATACTGTGTGTTTACGCTTACTTCTAAGTGTAGGATGAGAAGACTAGAGCATTTTTTTTTTGTTTTACTTACGGTCAGCGAACTTCTAAAAAAGAGGCAAGATCGAAGTAACCGTCGATTGTCGCTTTTTTTTTTAGTCAACTAAGCGTAAATTCGAAGGCGCCAAGGCACGCTGTTAACGTCCCACTTCCTTGATGCACCCTTCGAACAAAGAAGGGTAAGAAGAATTCGAGAAGTCGATGGCGTAGTATGCCAGTCTTTATGGTTCGTTAAACTGTACGAAAAACACTATAAAGATAGAAACGAACTGATCAGAGGACCACTTGTAATTACATATACTAAGGGTGCATCTTGTTTAACGATAGTTATAGCGCGAGAACAAAACGATGACACAGAGACAAGAAGGACACGAGCGTGTCCTTCTTGTCTCTGTGTCGTCGTTTTGTTCTCCCGCATTAACTATCGTCATGCCATACCAACTAGCCCAAGCCAGCACACTTCTAAGTGCGTCTTTTTGTCGTCGTTGTTGGTGACGTCATCAGCGTCGTTACGCATTTTAAGCTGTCAAACAACGTAGAAACCCGGAGGAACGTCAGTTTTCTACGTAAATAGCACATTTTATCGGCACATCGAGGCGTTATCTAGCAGCGAAAAGAATTCTGAAAAGCACCCAGGGATTTTTACAAGCAGTGTAGTGGACTATGTATACACTGCTTGTAGTTGTTGTGGAGTGTATAGCAGGCTAGGTGTGGTGGACTCGAAAACTTGATTAGAGCTAATCTGTTATTTTTTATGACAGTTTCTTGGCCATCAGTTGATCAGGATTGAAAATGAGACGTCAAAAGCGGGAGAATTCGGCCCATTGTGCGAAACTTATATGAGGTGAACCATAAGGCACACAAAGTCAGGCATCAACGATAAAAGGCGCATATGCCTGGTTTTGACTTCCGTATTGAACGTAGCAACGATTCTTGTCAACGACTCCAAAACACGCCTTACATGCTCGTACAATAAGATATTAACAGGCTGCAATTGTAGGGGACACTAATATTGAGCTTGTATACTCTCCTGGACTGTCCGTACTCTATGCTGAAAAATTACGATAACTCTTATAAAAGCGTGAAACGCAACCTTCAACACTGGAGGTGCGGTCGGCCACTTATACTAAAATCCTTTTTCCATCGATGATCGAATCAGTCATAAAAGCTCAAGTTTGCGGCGGCAACCGATAACCCAGCCTTGAAAAGTTGATAAAGTAAGATATCGTGATTGGCTGACTGCGCATCAGAAACGCGGACAAGAAAGAGAGACACCTGGAGTGAACCACGAGAACGAGTTCGTGCCGCGCCGCCAGTCATTATTCAGTGCCAATTCGTCCAACTTCCAGTGTCACTACTTTCGATACAGTAATATGTGTCACAAGGTGTAACTAGCTGCACTAATATCCCATAAAAATATTGAGAGGGGATCAAACTTACTTTGGGTCTCTTCGTTATGCCATAACTTCCAACTCTGTAATAAATATATATCGTCTTTTGATTTGATCCTCACGAATAAACATCGTTTCAGGACCACCACCACGCAAAGTACGACGGCGTGTTCATCACTTGTCCCTACCATCTGACGAACGACTCCGAGACACCACAGACCGTCCGCGTAGTAGTTACCGGAGCCGAGACCGGCAAGTCCAAGAGCATACCAGTCCACTACCGGAGGCCTACTCTCGGCACCCACGAGATGGGGTCGCTCTCGCTGTGCGTCCGACCATTCTACGGCGGGGTCCCCAAAGTGCACGACCTGAGGCACTTCGTGGCCTACTACTCACTTCACGGTGTCCAGAGGTTCACCTTCTACGCTTACGACTCCCGCGATGACGTGAACGACTACCTGCGGACGCTCGGACGCGAAGGCTTGAAGGTCGACTTGTTCTCCTGGTCCCTACCTGCCGCCAAGAAGTCTTGGGCCCTGGCCCAGAACGCCTTCACGCAGGACTGTCTGTACCGGCACGCGAACGCTTCGCGGAGGGTCCTCATCGTCGATCTCGACGAGTTCGTGTTTCCGCTTCCGGTGCGCGGCAAGCCCCGCACCATCGCCCAACTCCTGGCCAAGCTACCGGAGTCCAAGGCGTGTATCGTTGTGCGTAATGTGTTTTGGGTTCGGGCTGCATCCCGGATGGACAGGCCTTTTATCTTCGCCAGCCTGAACCGCAGTCGCCGGGTTTGGCCTACGGGCCTAAGAAGCAAGTACTTTGCCGACCCCCTGGAAGTTCTCGAAGGAGGGATACACTTTTGCAGGCGCTTTCTGTCCGGTGGACGGAACCGCGATAAGCAGTTGACCGTGAGCCAGGCGCTCCTGTTTCATTACCGTGGCGTCAGAGGCGAAACATACGCTAGGGACACGAGCATGCTGGTTTGGGAAAAGCCGTTGATGAATTCGCCGCTGATGCCGAAGCCCGAATTTTGGAGAGGAGTCGCTTCCAAAGTGCGCAATGTCCTGCGGAATAGTGTTGACGTGGTCTCAAGACTCATTCAGCGATAGTGAGAGTGTTTTCTTTGTGAGTGTGTTGGCGGTGCCTCAAAGACTAGAGCGTTGATTGGTTCAAAGTGACAAGCAGCTGGACTCTTGGTGCGGTGATCGGCTATAGCATTCATGAAATTAAGGTTGTGATTGCCCAGCACCACTCAACTGAACAGCACTATACGTTTCAAATTTTACAAACCTTGTGGTAAAATCATCAGTACAAAAATAGCTTATGCCTTTTAGTTAGCAAAAGCTTACGCAAACATATCGTTGAAAGTGCTGCCACAATGGCAAATAAATAAATTAATAAATAACTAAATAACTTCGACTTTCATAACTAAATAACTTCTACTTCATAACAGGCAAAGTACGGCCAACGCGACAAAATACCTCCCGAATCCAATGTGACATTCAAGCAATAAAAAAAGAAAGGGAGAAAGTGAAAGAGCTAGGACCCGAAAAGAACAAACGAAAACGAGAGCGATCTCATCACACCAGCTATTTGTCCAGCGGCTTCGCTTGTTCTACAACGCCACTCAAAGTGCAATCAATATTTCTCTAACAGCAAGAGCGTCCACGCATCGCAGGCGGGCAACTCAATATTTCACGTGAGCTCAACTGATATCGGCATGCCCTTGAGGAAAACACTTTCGAACGCTGAGCGTCTGTGGAACGTGACGGTATATAGCTATTCGCGTCGCTGTCGCTTCTGCGTCATCATTTCGGCTGTTTACGCTCGGCCCCCACGACCTCCATTCACCTAAATCCCCTCCCGGGAAATCGCTGGCACGCAATGGAGGCCCGGCCGTGAGCAAGGCTTTCCCTTGAGTACACAGGCACGGCAACACGCAGCTTTCAGTTGAAAGCAAACCGGTGCGGAAATGTCACTGCAACCTGCTGCGTCAAAGTGTAACTGATTTCCTCGGCCTGCGTACATTTTGGCGCTCGATGAGGACAAAAAGAAAAAAAACATCCGGATGAGGGAACGTACCTGTGGTGAGGTGAATGCAGTCACCTGTACCTTACGTGAGTAACGAATTGATGAGCACTATAGATGGTTTTCCGCTTCGGTGGTGTAGCGGTTATGGTACTCGGCTGCTGACGTACCCAAAGGTCGCGGGTTCGAGCCCGGCTGCGGTGGCCGCATTTCGATGGAGTCGGAATGGTAGAGGCCCGTCTACTGTGCGATGTCAGTAAGGTTCAAGAACACCAGATAGACAAAATTTCGGAAGCCCTCCGCTACGGCGTTTCTCGTAATTGTGTGATGGTTTTGAGACGTCAAATCACAGACATTATTAGTACTTTGTGGTTCGCGTTCAGAAACTCGGGCTCAATCAACGCGAAAAAAACAAGGACGTGGTAGAACTCGCGGTGCTGTCATAGTTGTTCCTCTATGTCCTTGTGCTCATTGCGCAGTTTCGTCCTCAGTTGCTACATGAGTACTCTGCCTTATTAGTGACTCGACTAGATAGCGAAGCTATTCGTTCTCTACCAAGTGTTTCCGGTCGAGTACAAACTTTGGCTTTTTTTTTTCGAATAATAGCAAATCAGTATTTAACGATTGAACTGGTATGCAATCAACGGTTCTGGTTCAAGAATCATTGAACGTTCTGGACATCTGGCGGAACAGATCATGAACACGCGCTTCTTCGAACGTGGCCTCCGACGTATACGTTTCGGTGGCGTGCGAAGGCTTTTTCTTCATTTCAAGCTTTTTATTCTTTGTTACATAAAAACGCATCTAGTATCATGATTGGCATACACCCAAGAGTGTAAAAAAAAAAACCATTCCATCTGTGGAATGTTTCATCTGTGAAAAAAACATTCCAATCGTGTCCACCAGGTGGCAAGTACCCTACGTTGCTTCAAATTCTCGCACATGCAGAGACACACGTGTGTTCTTACGCACAGTCAGAGAATCGCGCAAACAATCTTCGTCCAGGAGCTTCTGTTTTGAGCCTAACCACGAGCACTAGACACAATACATCAAGGAGAGTGCATTCGTCGTGGTGGTGCAATAACGGCAGATGTACACGAAAACACTCGTCCGAGGCGCGAACGTGTATACTACAAAAGAATGCGCGTCGCTGCCTTTGTTGCAAAACAGTGTGCGCACTCTTATCTGGTCGCTAAACGAGTGCGCCCGCGTTTATCGCAGCGGGACGTTTTGCGAGATAAAGCAGACAGTTTAATTCTTGCGCGTACATCAAACATTCGGTCAGTCGCGCTGGCTTTGAGAAGTTGGATTTCGCAAGCACGCAGAAACAAACCCATAACAAGGAGGGCCGAGATGGTTTCTCAGTATGAAGGAATGTTTCACTATTTCGCCTTGCGTCATGACTATATTCATTTTAATTAGTCCGTTTTTGTCTGCGATTTCAATCCATACTGTTAACGTTCCCCTTCAAAAGTAACTAACCGCAGTTCCAGTGAGTGTGAGATCTGCAGCAACAGTGTGGCCGCGGTTGTCTTAAGTTTTCCTCATCTTTCCACTCCCCTTTTCCTCTTCCTCCATCGTTAAGTAGCCAACTGGACTGCAGTCTGGCTAATCTCCCTGCCTTCTCGCTTCTCTATTCTTTCCTTGTGCGATTGTGCCGGTGTCTTTGACGACAGTATTTGTAGAATGAATAAGCACGGGAAAGGACGTTTGGCATTCAGCTCCTGCCACACTAGCACATCAGTGACTTTAGACCCTATGCGCGGCAGAGCCATCCTTGTCTGTTTCACTGTGCGGCTGCCGCATCGTTCGTGAGCGATGCAGTTACGCCATCTATGCGCGTATCAGGGAAATGGAGGGTAACACATGACGTGGAGACAGTCATCCGTCTTCGAACAAAGCCCCAGAACAGCATCATTGTTAAAGAAGCTGACGTTTTTCTTTGAGCGTTTCGCAAGCGAACGCGCAGGCCATCATGATTTTACTGTCACGTGAAAACAGTGATAACATTGGACACTATTGGCGTGTGGCCGTATTGGATGTTGCGAAGCTTCTGTAATGCCGATCACGCTCAGGTCGTAAACAGTCTCCGCGACATCGCTTCGCGCTGGCTTTCCGCCCATCCATGCTGGGTCACATTCCCTGTCGCAAGGGCGAATCCAAGCAGCGATGAAAGAAATACAATCTAAGCTGTTTACTACGGCTCCTTCCGTTTCATTTGAGCAAGAAAGAAGAAGGAGATCAGAAGAACAGCGAATGAGCAGGTATGTTACCTTCCGAGATTTTCTTTTCCTGCCTTTCTTTCTATTCTTCTCATCCAGAGAAAGTATAGGAGAGCAAGAGTAAGAAGAGGAGGAACCACAATGTCGAAGAATAACACGGGAGAATCGTGTCTCATTACGAGGACGCTCACAATCGCGTCTCGGATCGCGGGGCCGCTCACTGCAAGCTCGAGGAGCGCAGGAGACGGGGCCGTAGGTTTCCTCCGTTGTCAAAGCCAGGCGAGGCTCACTGCAGAGGCAAAGCATCCCTGCCGACCTCACGACGTTAGGATGAAGCCCACGGATTCGATATACCGGGCGCTGCAGGGAGTCCAAACAGCGCAGCCAAGCGGAACTAGCCGTTTCTGCATTGTGGCCTCGCCGCATACGAGTATATCCCATACAAGCGCACGACCAACCCCATTGTGTAGCGTTTATGAGTTCGTCTCAGGTGTACGCGGACCGATGGACGTGCCTTCTTTGCCGGCGGATGCTAAACGGAGACGCAGACAATCGTATTTTGTCCTTCTAGCTTCATCTTTTTTTCTCTCTCGTTTCTTTCGAGAAGAAAGCCCGGTTTCATATAGCGCATCGTTTCCTTCTCGTTTATCTTGAAGCCTTTCACGACGTTTGCGTGGTTTATGGAGAATTACTCGGCGTATCTCTGCCAACACAAGCCAGACGCCTACCGATATGTTTTCGCTTTTGTACCGATGGTTTCCGTTTTCTTTTGTAGCATTGGCAATTATTTGGACACTCAACGAAGTTATCAGCTGGTGTCGGCGTCGTTGTTGCTGTGATGGCCAATACAAGACCCAAGTGTGATAAGAATATATCACACCAGGCTGTGGTGTGCTGAGCAAGTGAGAGCAAGTATGCGAGAAAGAGTGACGCTGAGAGCGGCCGTGGTGCTAAGCGAACATTGGCGGGGAACATTAGCGAGAACGGGGTATAGGGGTGACTGCAACAGAAAGATGGAGGACTTGAGGTTGAATCATGGATTCATATAGTCTATTCAGCCCACCCTCGGTGGTTAAGCTGCCGCTGCGCACTGCAACGAAAAAAAAGGCAGCATGTGGTCTCGCTATCTTGAAAGTAATCTGCAGTGGTTCCAAACATCAAGCCACCTGAGAACGCTGTTCGCTTACGCTGACTGTTTTAGCCGGCACTATCAAAATGGAACACACCCACTCTGTCAGCTGCCGTTATCTCGAAGAAGCGAGAAGCGACCCAACTTGTTTGCTCGCTTATGTTTGCGTAGTTTATTCCGCCGGCGTTGTGATACTTCTCAACTCTTGATTGTAGTAATTAGCTTCTGCGGCCTACCATTCGAGTGGCTCAAGGTAAGGCCATTGCTGAGTTCGACAATACCCCGGAATTTCGCGAAGTGAAAAACGTCGCCCGGGTTCCTTTGGAAACAGGTGAGGGAGCTTGGGAGGATGTCGGTACCCGTGCGTAACGCTCAACGTAGTGACTTGACACGTACTGCCGTGCTTACGAAATGACGAGAACGAAGCGCACGTAAACGCGAGGAGGCGGGCCATCGAAAACCGACGCCTTGGGTGGTGGTAGGCCATCTGTTGAGAATTGTTGGAATCCCCTGAGAGGCGACCGCAGCGGTGACCTTGAGCGGAGACCGGAGAAGTGTGTACTGGCAACACTGTGTACACGCCGGCAGCCGCCGGACAGGGCGCGAGCTTAGTGAGCATGCTTCTAAAAAACCATCAGACAACACTCTGGAGGTTGCTAGACGTTAGCTCTAGATTGGCTTTCTCAAACAACATTCTCGTTAGGCATGCGTGCCAGCAAACAAGTAAACGAATGGCTCAGTGCTTTGGCTGAATAACTGCACAGACATGGAAAGGTAGGCCCCCAACATCACAGCAAGTACATACATGCATGCGTGTGCATTGTCTTCCTTTATGAAGAGAGAGAGAGAGAGAGATAAAGATGCAAAGAAAGGCAGGGAGGTTAACCAGACGCACATACGGTTTGCTACCCTGCACTGGGGAAGGGATGAAGGGGAGAAAAGAGGTTGCAAAAAGATAAGAAGGTACACACAATCACGAGCACACTCGGGGGAGCACACACAGTCTACATGCGGTCGCCCAGGTTTGTTGACTTTAAGTAAAGTAGGAGCACTT